ACTCTTTTTCGAAATATTTTTTCTAGGTCGGTATGACTGTCAATGACATCTGTGCCAAATTTCACATCAATTTAATTCGAATTCGGTGAATTTTTCAATTTCATTATTTTTTGTGCCGAAACACAAGCAGGTTTGGGAAAATTATTATAAATGGTAAATGTGAAATTTGAAGAATATAATCAAATAATTCAAATTATACAAACCTAACGTAACTAAGAAATTATTAATCAGCTTTAAAATTATGTTATAATCATCACTTCTTACTATACTCACTTTTATCTCTTTTTTTAATAATTAGTGAAGAGATTGTGTTGCCAGCACACATTAACATTTGAGAAGTGTTTGTTTTATATTTTATATATTTAGTTAGTTATTAATTAGCCGCAAATCCTTGTTTTTAAAAACTCAATTATATTTTCGTTACCTTTTTACTTTTGGCTTGAAACCAAATGCAAAATATTTTACTTTGCCTCAGTTAATGCTTGCTGCTTAATTGTATAGGGTATATTTGTATATGTGCTTTTGCATACATACTTTCAACTTTAGTAAAAATGTGCTATTTTTCTTTTTTCGCTTCATTGTTGCTCTCAATATAAAAAACTACGCTGCAAATATGTGTATATAAATAATTGCGCTCTCTGCCGCTCCGCTAAAAGCTACAAATTTACTTATCTTTTAATTTACTTTATATGTATGTATGTGTATGCAAATAAATATCCGCTATGTGCTATAAATATATACATATGTACGTTTTTTGTAACTTTCCCATTTTTGGGGACAACATTTTTTTATAAAAAGCTTAGATTTTGTTAATTAGTTGGTCTTACGTACATACATACTAACATTTTAATGCAATTGCGGTGATCTTACGAATTTTCTCAATTCAATTTTATATAGTATATTGATTTTTTGTAGTAATTGCAATAAAGCATAAAAAGTTTATCAACGTTGCAGTTCTGACTTCTTATTTACTTCTTTATACAGTGGCGTGCATGACAATAGAATCAGTAAGCTGTTGTTGCTCAGCTTGCATATCCCTTTCGACTCTAAAAAAGGGTTTGAACGAAGTAGTTTAAAGGTTTCTTCAATGTACAGTGGCGTGCGTTAAAATATACTCACTTGGTTGTGAAACAGTCGATTGGAAATTAATTTCGAATTAGAGCCGAAATCATAAGAGTGCCTTATTTGTAAATTGTTTTTTTTTTTCAAATATATCAACCAAAGCTTACACCTTAGTATTTTAAAATTATTCCAGAATGATACCAGCGAACATGTATGGAAGTTATTTAATTGAACTAAATTTTTAAAACAACATGAAATGTTCAGAAACTATATTTTAGCGCACAACACCGTAGATTTGAAAATCCTTTTTTAGATATACAAGCCACAATATTCGCCCAGCAATTTTAGAGCGAACTACTAGCGGTAAGTGCTTTTTTCTATAATTTTGTTACCAGAAATTGACATGAGATAAACCAATGAATACGTTCGCTTAGGTAAAAATAATTTTACTATCACTGGACTAAAATTAGAGCCCTTAAATACTTGTGAAACTTTATTGTCTCACAACGATCGAGAATGAAATAACAGGTGATCCAAGTAGAGATACTTTTTTCAATAGCCGTTTTTGAGAGATCACACGTGTCAAGCTGTCATGTCATTTTGTTCACTTCTCACACTTCGTATCAATCAGTGGATTTATTGAGAGAACATTTCAGTTAGCAGATAATTTCACTTTTCGGCCGTTCGATAGGCCATTAAGATCACATCGTTAGACCCTTTTCTGTGGGGATATGTAAAGTCTGAAGTCTATGCGGACAATCCCGCAATTCCAGCCTTAAAGCAAAACATCACACGTATCATTCGCCAGTTATCAGGTGAAATACTCAAACCAGTCACCGAAAATTGAACTCAACGGATGGACCATCTGAGGCGTCCAACTTTTGAAAGACATCATCTTCAAAAAATAAATGCCAATGAATTTTTTTTTTCGAATAATAGTAAACATTACCTTTTTTTCTTCCTTAAAAAGTAGGGAACCTCGAAATGGATTACCCTTTAAAAGAATATTAATAGATTGTGGAACGTTAAGTTTTGGAGCTTTATAAAGGCTCAAATTTGAAATTCGTTCCTAATAAATCTACTTAGGAAATTGCTTTTTATTTATATAGGGGGTTCTTTGAAGTGCCTATAAGACTTTTATAAAACGTTCAAACGTCAATTACTCCATTAATCTCGGTTGATTGCTGAAAGCGATTGAAAGCTTAGAAGTAACCAAGCAAATGTATATTCTATTCTCAAGGCATCGAAAGATCGTGTTAAATTTGTTTAAAGAATATTATTTTCGTCAATTAATGGTGTTTAGACAGATGGAGATGTCATAATCTATAATTATATTAATTAAATATCAAACTAAAAATCGATCGCTTTAGATCAAATACTAAAGGTTTTTGCTGATTTGATGGAGCAAACTACACTTTCAAAAGTTTTTGAGAACGTTATCGTATTAATATTACAAACTAAGACAAAAAGGAACTCATACGGTTCAACTATAGGAGTTTCTAGATGTAGTTCCACTATAATTTTTATATTAAGTCCCACTGCTCGCTCAGCTGGTAAGGCATTATTTTGCCATTTTTTCCCCCAAATATCTTTTCAGTGCCAATTTTTGCTTAATTAATATGCTACATTGCTTTTAAATAACTTTAACAAATACATAGGCGATTTCAATACACACATACAAGTAATTAACAGTGTGTATATTTATAAATCTGTGTGTACAAATATTTTTTAGCAACTTTGTACTACAGTTATATATATGGGTATAAAAACTTTTTAACAATTTTCAATTAACAACTAAACTAACAACATTTAACGGTTTTTATGAACATACATACAAATGGAAAACGACCATATATTATTGATTGAACCTTTCTGTATATATTTATATGGATTCTTTGCAGTTCATACAAAAATTTACAACAATGTTGATTTTGCAATTCATTATATAATACATATACATTTACCGTAAAATATTTATATCGTGTTTGTAATGCACTTCGTTTCGAGCACTATAATTTTAATTTTTTTACTTTTTTTGCATCATTTTTAAAAACTTAATAAACACTTAATTAGACATATGCGCTTTTAATGTACATAGTGTGTAGTTTCTTGACTTTTATCTTGGTTTTCACTTTAAAATATATTCAATTATGCGAAGTGAGTGGAATGTCATATGTTTTTTCGAATAAGTAGTGGACGCTTGGAAAATATTTCACGTTAAGTAGTGACGGTAGCGATTTCGGGTATAAGGCAGTCATACTTTAAAGATTTAAGGTAGCCATCCTTGAATACACACGAAATTATCCATATTGTTGCCTTTTCGTTTAATGTTATTTAAGCCTTTTCAATTCTTATACATACAAAATTATCAATTATACATTTCGATTTAATTTTTTATTAATTTTTTTTAAAATAATTTAAATTTTTTTTATTTTTTGTTTCAAATAGCATTTTTGGAAAATAAAAAATGTATTTTTTAAAATAAAAATATATTATTTTGTATTTCTTTGAAGTAACGGTACATTTTAACCATAGTAATTAAATGTATTACCTTCGTAGGTACAGACGGTGAGTCACAGGTCACTAAGAAAGGTGGTAATGAACAACTATTGTTAGATTTTCCACTAAAATGTATAATTTTTTACAGTGTATTTCGTCTAATTTACTCTCTTCGGTTATGTAAACATTCCCTTTAATTTGTATATTAAATTACTTATTGTATAATTTTTATTTAGTTGTAGAGTTCAACACATTTTATACAACTTAATTTAAATTATAACTTTTATTGTTAAATTTCTTTGTTTTGTTGCTCTTAAATATTCCAACAAACAACTAACGAAATGATTTATAAAGTTTCGATTTTTTTTATACTAAATTGTATTGTTCTAAGTGATTTTGTTTACTTTTTTTCGGTATTAAATTTCCATTTTATTTATTTCACTAAATTTAGAATCTATATATAGAATATATGATTTGAATATACTTAAATTTTAAATCCAAACCAATTTTTTTTTTGTTTAAATACAAAAAATATAAAAAGAAATGACTAATTTAATTAAAGCATAATTAATTTTTATAAAAAATATTATTTTCAAAGCATATATTTTAGGTGTATTGTTTTCCTTGGTTGAATACGATTGCTTTTATTATTTTGAAATAAATTTTACGTAAGTTTTTGACTTTAAATAAATATTTACAAATAATATTTGTTTTGAATTGTATATGAAATTAGTTCAAAGTTAACATTTTCTTTTATTTATCAATCTATCATCAATGTTTCTTATTTAA